ATATATTTTTCATTTTTAAATGAAACATAAATTTGTTTATTTCTCAAATTTAAATATAGTTTTTTTATTTAGGTGGTTTATACCATTTAATACTTTCTACTTAAATATCACTTTAAGATATTGAAAAAAAAATTATATCCATTTGTTTTAAACTATTTTTTTTCTACTATTGTTTTATGCTGTAACCAAATTATACCTCTAATCTCTCAAAATACATCTTAAAAATAAGTTAAGCTACTCATAAATTGGTCAAATTTGATAAAATAAATTACGGGTAAGAATTTATTTATTTGATTAATATACAAGTTCAAGTTTGAGATTGAACTTATTATTTAAAATATTGTTTTAAAATTTTTTGAATTTTATAAATAAAGATATTAGTGTAATTTATACTATATATGAAATTTTAATCTTTTCTTATATGATGTATTTTATTTTACTATCCGACGTTGAATATGATTATATGTTATCCTAATTATTTAATTAAAAAATAATAGCAATAAAATGATAGTGAAATTATTATATTTTAATATTATATATGCATATATTTTATTATGTATCTTTTATTCGATGATATTGTATTTTTCTAATATAGTTTTACTTTTTATAAAAACACTTTTTAATTATTATACATAAAAGGAACGAGAACCAGTAGAAATACATATAGTTTTACCATAACTATGAGGTGTAAGAAGAAAATATGGGGTGCAAGAAAAAGACTGCTTTAATGTAACTTCGGCCCCTGAAGTTTTAGCATCCCTTCTAAGGGTTATCTCTGCTTTAGGTATTACTTTCTGCACCCTACCAAATTTCTTACTGCAACCCTGTTATATGGTGCATGAAGTAGCCTTTGCTTTAAGCATGGTTATTTAGAAACTATTATAACTGAATAGTGAGCTAAAACCTAAAATCAACTTATAAATTCATGAACTGAAATATTAATTACATTTTATGCAGCACGTTTGATATATTAATTTTTTATGTCTTTGCCTCTTTCATTCATTTTTTTCTTTCAAACATCCAATTTAACACTTACTAAATATATACATTTTAACATAATAGAAAATAATAATATAATAGAAGAAATTCTCTTATATTAAATAATGAAATAATTTTTTTCTTGTTCATTGCATTAGTTTTAGCTTAAATCTTTGTTGTTATAATATTAAAATTATTTTAATTAGTTTTACTTAGATTAAAGTTTTCTCTTGAAAAATCAAATGTTTAATACGGTGGAAAAAGTTGATTATTAGATGTATAGACTTCTTCACAAAGGTGATAGAAGTAGGTACAGATGTTAATGATAGTTGATCATATAATTTTTAGTTGCTTTATTTTTATATTTTTAACTGAAAAAATTGTTTAATTTTTATTTGGAAGGTTTTTTTTCTATTTATATAAATTACAAATATTGTTGGCAATATAAGATAAATTAAATTTTTAAAACGAAAAAATATATATATTTTTTTTATATTAGAAGATGCTAGAATAAATTATACACAATTATTTATATTTTAAAATACAAAAATCACTAATTGTATTTTAGTGATATAGAGTATTTTTTCATACTCAATCTTTTTGAAAAATTTATATGAAGTATGCTGTACTCAAATGTTAAGACTAACATCAAACATATTTGAAGTCCTTTTACCATGTAAACTCCATCTAAATAATATTAATATAGCACCGCAAAAACTTTCTTTAATTTCTCATCACAAATCTTAATTTATGTAATTCATATTATCATTGAATAAAAAATATTTTTTTAATGGATTCATGTACTTAATACCACCATTCTGAGATTATAATATTATATCATATACTCCTTACCACACATTTAGTAAAAGGACTAAAATATCATAAAGATATCAACATATCATATATAAAAAATTTGTATCAATTTATATTTCTCATCTTCATGATTACACATTATATCATCATCAATGTGACTTTGCTTCTTTCCTTATATTAATGAAGATTTTTACATTTGTACGGTCTCTTATTAATTATCAATTTAGTGATATCAATTTGTGATGAAAGAGAATCAATATGACTTTTCTCTTTACCATATTTATTAAGATTAGATAGTTGCATTCATTATTATTTTACTTTTAAAATAAAAGAAAAAAATTAATGTTTATAATTTATTTATAAGTTATCATTTATTGTTATTTTAAAATTTATGATTAAATATGTTTATATTCACTACTACACTAAATTGATTCATGTTTTAAACTTTCATATATTTTGATATCAAACTTAAAAAATAAATAAATAGATATAATTTTTTTAATTCCTTACTAGGTTAATTTTTTTAAGATGTTAACTAGCATTTAAAATTGACATTAAATTAAACCATATTAAATGATATAAATAACTTAAATGTCAATTTTAAATATCATTAAAGACCAAACTATATTAAAATTTAGAATATAAACAATTTTCAATTTACGTATGTAAAGAATAAAACATATTTTAACTCTAAAATATATTTATTAATAATACAATCAAATTTTAACTTCTAAAATAATTATTTACTTTTTATTGTTAGAAATTTACCATTACAAAATATAGGTCAACTAAAGTTCGGCAGGCAACTATTAAGATATATACACGGCTCTGAAAACTACAAAGATATCTACAAATCATTAAAAAAAAGAAAAAATAAAACTGACGTGGCAAGACTCAAATTTACGTTTTTGTGAGATATAAATTAGGTTGATGTCAATAATATTTGTCGGCATTTAGTATTTCCTATGTTTACACATACTTTTAATTGAAAAATATATTATAATTTATAATATTAAATAGGAACTATCAAAATAAACCAATCTAAAGAAAATAATAAAAAACTTAGTGCTGTCAAAATGGTTGTAACTCATGAATCAATTCGACTCACCACGGGTTTGAGTCGGGTTGGGTTTGAATAAAATGTAATTTTTTTATGCGGGCTAGTTTTCAACCCGGCTCACTGGATTGAACACGTGGTGAATCTGGTTGATTCACCAACTCACCTAATTTAATTTAATTATTTATTATTTTGTGTTTCAATATTATTAGTTAGCATTTTTTTTATTATACAACCCACCTAATTTAATTTAATTATTTATTATTTTGTGTTTCAATATTATTAGTTAGTATTTTTTTATTATATATTATAAATTTATCTATTTAAGACTCTAATATTATAAATGGACAAGTGAAGCAAAAATTAATAATATTAAAAGCTTATTTGTTGGTATTTGGAATTTAACATCGGGTGACATTTATTTAGATTTGAATTAAAAAAAAAATTTATTTAAAAAAAAACTTATAATTAAATGAGTCAGTGAGCCAACCCATTTAACTCACCAACCCGTGGTGGGTCGAGCCGGGTTCGAATTTTTTCAGCTCGTTAATAAGTGAGCCGGGTTGTATTGACTCACTATGTGACTAACCCGTGGTGGGTCGGACCGGGTCGAGTCAAGTTACGCGTTTTGACAGCTCTAGAAAAATAATATAAAAAATTAAGATTAAAATCGAGTTTATTTTTTATTTTTCACCTTTTTCATATTTATTTCTTCCTTAAACGAGAAAGCTAAAAACAGTTGACTAAAATATGATTTATTATTAGGAAACTATTTTTTTTTTCGTGTTTCTGTAATTTTTTTATAAACCAGATGTTTATGTGAGAAAAATTGAGTACAACTTAACCGTGTGACGAAGGACATAGACAGAAGTTGAACAATTCATTGAAAGTAGAATTAGTTCGAAAATCACGTTTAGGTGAAGAACTTTTGGTAGAATTGGCCCCAAAAAAACGCAACTAGGAATAGGAAATTTCTACAAGATGAAAACCCAATTGGTAAAATTTCATGAGAAACCTTGAGTTTGACTAAATGCAGAGGAAAAAGTGGTTAAACAAGGAGACAGATGTAATTATAACTAGAATAGTGAAGAGATGAAATTTACCAAGTCAAAAAGAGATGATAAGGAAGAAGACTCAAAAGTCTTCCAAAAATGGAGAATACCAAAAGTGACTAGTGTGAACATTTGAACCTATAACGAGCCCAATTCATGGGTCATTAGGTCAAGGAGTCAACGTTCATAGAAAGGGTCTTTGGATGACTTTCTACACAAGACACATTTTTCTATCTTAACTAATAAGTTTGTAAAAAGTGTATTTATTTTTTAACTAGTAATTTTCAGATAGAATCTTACTAATATAGTTGAGTTATATAACTACAAAGAAAGTTTTGGGTTCTTATAAACACTATGAGAAACGTTAGTAATATGTTCTTTCACATATTAATGGAAATTTATTTAAATTAAAATAAAAAATTGTGAATTCATTGTCCTATTCAATTATTCTCCATAAAAATTTTCTCTAAATTGTTAACTGTTCTCTAATGTTTATTTTACTAAAGAAATGCGGTGGTGTTGGTGTTTTTGGTTGGCAAAATTGATATTTGTTTTCAGAAAATAGTTTCATTTTTTAATTTGTTAATATTTAACTTTTTTATTTAATTTGAGTTCTTATTCTTATTTTTAATTTTTCATTTGACTGTCCATTAAAGCTTCTAAGTCATTATTATTAATAATAAAGAAGAATTATAAGGTGGATGTATCTGATTTTATTTTTTAATGGAAAAGTGTCCACTTTTCCCTTTTATATTATCTTCGATTCTTCTTTTTATCAATTTTTTTCTCGAATTCTTCACATCTCTTTAGATTTTGCTACAATTTAACCTAATTTCAGCAACAAGCTTACAAATGTCAAAAAGAAATATTTATTGTTATCCTTTGATAATATTAAATCCAATTTATTAACAAGTTGTGTTAATAAATAGACCAGTATTGAATTTGATTTCTTAAACAGGTGAATATTTAGTTTCCATTTTTCAAAAATAGTAACTTTGTTCTTTCTATTCTTTATATTTAGACATAATTCTTGATTCTGACGAAACTTAAACTACTAGATGTTAAAGCAAGTTCATCGATCATAAAAAAAAATGGAAGACTATATATAAAATCATCAAGTTTAAGCTGTAAGAAGCAAGAGTAACTTCAATGAAAAAGTAGACACCTAAAACAATTAATCTGAAGAAAAATTTCAGGGGTCCAAATCAACAGGTTGTACAGCATTTCTTGATCTGCTTCCATGTCCAAAAGAAAAGAATGATCTCTTCACTCTGTCATTGCCATCACAGGCTTCAACTGTGTTAATCTCATGAACATGTTCATGCTGTTGTTGTTGCTGTAAAACCTGCTGAATTGCCCCATAAAACTTTCTATCCACTGATGAATCCATGGAAAAGGACCTCCTCATGGCTTGAACTGATGAAAAGCTTTCACCTTTGGCTCTGATGCCAATACACTCATCTCCCAAGCTGATCACTTTATGAAGCTTCTTTGCATTCTTCTGTGAAGAAACAGCAATGGTAGGTAAATCTTGTCTTCCTTCCAGGTTTCGGTCTCTATCGAGTTCACCATCCAAATCAATCACAACAAAACCTTCATCACTGACATTGTTTTCAATGTTTTGGCTTTGGTCTTGAGATGAAGGCCTTGGAACGAGAAGGTTTGGTTGGTCAACATGGACCTGACTTGTCAAGGACACAATTCTTCTGCAGAGAGGGCAATGAGTGTTGTTCTGAAGCCAAACATCTATGCAATCAATGTGAAAGACATGGCTACAGTTTGGTATAACCCTCAGCTTCTCATCTTGTTGAAACTCACTCAAGCAAACTGCACAATCATCAAGGTTGCTTCTTTCACCAAAGTTTGTATCCCCTTTTTCTGGCTTGTAATGAATCACAGGGATTAACCTGATAACTGCTTCCTCTAGCCCTCTTGGCTCGGATCCAGCAGATGGATCTTCACCTTGTCTGGACAGAGAAAATAGTCTTGTGTGATTAACATGGGGCCAACTGAAGCAGCACTTGACAACTAACATGTAGTAGCCTATAAGGAAGAAAGTTGTGAACATCATTCCTAGCACAAGGATTGCTAAGAGGGGAAGATTTGAACCAGAAGGATGAGGAATATCATGATTTGGAGGAACTGTGCAAGGTGAATCAGCTTGTATTGGTAAATGAAGTAGGTGTCTTTGGCTAACAAAATCCATATCAGATTCTGCTAACAAAAGGGTTATCTTATATCTTGGAATTTCTCACATGAATCGAGTCTTATCACACTTTCCCTGCAAAATCTTTAGTATATGCTTAATGCACTAACTGAAGTAGGCCATGGTTTTTCCCCAAATCCGAACAGAAAATGGGAGTGGTTGGAGAGTAAAGAGGAATGAAATATAGGGTAAGTAGTGAGAACAGAGAAAGACTAAGAAGACTTATAAACTAGGGGATGGTAGAGAAGAGACGTGAGAGGGTTTGAAATTCAATGAAAAACTGTTGTCAAACCAAGTAAAATTTCTAACAACGGTATTGAAGATTCCATATTTACTATATAACAAATTTGTAATATATAAATAGATACAAAAAGAGACTTAAAATATATAAAATATATAAAATATATATCTATTCTTTTATGATAGCAGTCTTTGTAAGTTTTAATGTTTCTGTAAGTTGCTTTTACAATCATTTAATGATGATGTGATAGGCTTTTTAAATTACATCAAAAGAGTTATTGTTTCTGACTAGAAATAAATTTGGTCATATTTACCAAAGCTAAAAATATTTTTGTTTCCTAAAGTTATGCATGACTTGGAATGTATTTGGTGACTGTCCAATATGTAGGGTAACGTATGGTTCAGTTTTTAACGAAGGGTCTGTAGAGTGAGTGGTGGTCCAGCTAGAATGGTGACAGTGGTTCATCAATGACCAAGTCTTCACCAATGAAACTATCTGTTGACCTCAACAACACAGAGTGAAAAATGTGTCAAAGTCTTCAGTTTGAAAGTATGAGGCCTTCTGAATTCCTTCATTTCTGAATTATAGAAACGAAATTAAGTGACCCATGTTAATGAAAGAATGAGTAAATAATTGGAAGGTGAACGATGCAACTTGCAGCATTGAATATACAGCACCTTGTGGAGTGAATATGTGACAGACATTGAGTATTCAAGGTTTGAGATTTCTTGGTCATTGTTGTTTTTGCAGTTTTCATAAAAATGAACATACTGGTTTGGTTTGGTTACTGGGTGATTTTCTCCTTCAAAACTAATGTTACCAATGCACCCATTTATGAACATTTTCTTGTTTAAAATTAAAATTGTCTATGCAGCAATCAGAGTCCGAATTCAAAGTCCTGCATATTCCACAACCTTCCAATTCCCAGATGTGTGTTCTTATTGACATCTACAATAGTTTTGAAAGTCACTAACTTTCTTGAAGTAGCTTCAATTCCATATAGTGGGACTCCTCTAAATCTCATCCATGCAATTTTTTTCTTGGAAGTCTTCCAACTGAACTAAGGTAATATCCTGTAAAAGTAATTGCTTATAACCATTTGTATCTTGAAATATCGATTGAAAAATAGAATTATTTGATAATTTTCGTTAATATATAGTTTACTAACTTGTATAACCTCTTAAAGTGTATCAAATTTTAGTAGATAAAAAAATTTTTATTCATAAAAAAAAACATACTTTAAATATATGAGTATTTTAATAATTTTTATATACTATTTGTTTTCTTATAATATTTAATTTCTATAAATTAAGAATTAAACAGAAGTACATGAATTATAATTTAAATTAAGAGAGTTTTAATTATAAAATATTTTATACGACTACACAAATTTATAATTTAAATTAAATATTCATTAATATCTTTTTTAAATTGGTAAATAGACAATACATTTGTAAATTATATAATATTTTTCAAAAAAGTCTGCTATAATTTTAGTAAGAATATCTACTCATCAAACTTTATATTATATATTTGAAAATTTCAAATTATTTTTATCAAACCTTTCCTTGATGAAAAAAATATCAATCTATAAGTCTTTGATATCTTCTACAAGTCTTTAATATATTTCCTTATTAGTTAGAGTTCGATCTTCCTCAACACACAACTTCAATCTCCCTTTAATTAGAGAATTTGTTGTTTTGCATATTGTCATCCTAATTTCTTTCAATAAATTCAATGCAAACTTTTGTTAAGAGAGAAAAATATCCAATTTTGATCTCGAGGTCTCAATTCCAATAAAGTACATACTTTAAAGACCCAATGTCCTTCGTCTCAATTCCTTTGTTATCTTTCAATGTCTTGAGTTCTTCTAAATTATTTCTCGTAACTATTATGCATCAACCTAAACAATAAAATTGTAACATTTTCATGTTTTGTTTCTTTAGAAACAAAGTATGATCTTGGTTGCTATATGGATATACAAAAGTAAGCATAGACTCAGTGAATTTACCAAACCATATTTGTGGTGATTGCTTTAGTTTGTGTAATGACTTTTTTAAACATACCTTATTCCTACGAGGATAAATGACTTCTTTAAACATACCTTATTCCTATGAGGATATGATATTCCACATCTTTTTTATAGCTCCATGTAAACTTCTTTATATAATTGTCCATGTAAGAAGATTTTTTTTCACATCCAATTGTTGTAAGGAACAATCAATGTTTACAATTAAAGATTATAATAATTGAGTTAATTTTGGCTATGGAGCTAATGTTTTAGTGTAGTATATTTCATATGCCTGTGTATACTCCTTTGCCAGTAATCTAACTTTGAATCTCTTAATTGTACCATCTACATTAGATTTCATATAATACATCCATTGACATCGTGATTTCTTTCCAATAGATAAATAAGTTTTGTCACTTTTTGCAATCCAAACATTACAATACAAAGTTGAAGTGTTATTTAATCAAATACATTTGGAAATAATTTTATAATGTAACCAAAAGATGCATGTCCTAAAAAACTTATGACATAATAAAATATTTTGCTTTTTTCTCACTTCTTGACAAAGCTTCTCTGAATATTTTTATGTCAAATTTAGATAATACAACATTCCTTGCTTAATAGCATGATGTCTTTCTCATTTTAATGTTTTTAAAAACATAAAAGTTAGATCAAAAAATTACAACACATAACAGAGCTCTTGGTTATTTGAAAGACTGATAATAAGTTATATTTTAAAGAAAACATGATTAACACCAAAGTTTAGGTTGTTCAAAATAGAGACAATTCCTTCTAATAATATATAGTGACTTTACTACAGTTGTTTGTGGAAATACTTTTTTACGAAAAAGGTTCAAGATTTTTAACGTGTCCAACATAAAAGAAATGCTTACAACATGCAAAGTTAATTATCCATACATTATTCAAAACAATGAATGTTCTTATTAAGGACTTACGATTAGAATTATCACTATCTATATATAATTGTATCTAACATTATGTCTGTCTTTGTCGTTCTTTTCTTATTGTTAGTTATTATAACAATAATTGAATTTTTTGAAATTGTTTTTCTAACTTCCTTGTCATTATAGCTTGACAATGAAAAATCATATGTCGTGTGATTCTAACATTGTTTATTGGATTGTTTCTCTCTAAATCAATGTAGAACATTTTTCTAAATCAGATGTCACTTCCTTAAACAATATTTCTTCATAAACTTACTCAAAATCATCTTATATAATCTAATGTTGAAAGTCTTACATCGACTAGAGATAAGACCAATTCATAGTTTATAAGTAGATATAAACCTCACCATATAAGCCAGTTTTGTGGGGGTTGAGTTATGTTTAAAGTCCACTTCTAACACCTAATAAGGAATATATACACCTTCAATATTTTGATTAACTTCTTATATTGATGGTGTAATTCTCATAATGTCAACCAACTGTTCATAATATTTAGTTAAGGTTTTATTATTTTTGTTTTGTAGTGATTTTCTTTTGATTCAAGATAAACACTTGTAACTTATCACTTTCATCATATGACACTTTTGACAAAGCATTCCAAATAAAGAGAGACTGGGTAACCGCAATTACCTTTTTATAATTTTTACTTCTCGGACATCAACAACCATTTTTTCATTTTTTGGTTTTCAGCATATTATTTTTCATGTCCCATATCTTCTTCTATTGGATGCTTTATCACCCTGCAAATGTAGGAGAATTATTTCTCTATCTATGATGAGCATCTCCATTAGTTGTGGATTTTTGTTTCATTTTATGATTTTTATTTCATATATATTATTATACAAATACTTTGTTCTTAAACATTTTACTGCTACAAATCAAGAGCTAAACAAAGGAGTCTACAAACAATAACAAAATTAAAGAACTTCTAATTATACAATATTTTTGTCTAACTATATACAAACTTATAAATTAGGTAATCAAACATCTTTTTAAAATACCCGCACGATACCCGCTTAAAAAATATACACGAGTATTTTAAAATCCGCGGATACATGTAAATACCCGCAGATATTTAAAAAAAATATATTTTTATAAATTATTAAAATAAAATTTAAATAAAATTACAAAAAATATATAAAATATAATATAAATTAAAATTTTATTTTAATTAAATTTAACCTTATAAAATATAAATTAATATTGATTTTAATTAAATTTAACTTTATAAAATATAAATTAAATTTTTACTTTTATTTTTTTTTGGGTAGCGGATATCCGCGAATACAGATAGTATAATACCCGCACCTAACCCGTTTATAAGCAGGTATGAAAATGTTCGCTACCGACAACCCAATGGTACTAAATATCCGCAGGTACCAACTATCCGTTGCGGATTTTATCCACGACTGTGAATTTTTTTGTCATCCCTACCATATGATCATACAGTAAAAAAAAAGAAAATATATATATATATATATATATATATATATATATATATATATATATGTATGTATGTATGTATTATTAGGTTTTGGGTGTTATAAAACAACAAGAAAGGAGAGGAAACCAACCATTTGACTACACTTAATTACCTATCAACAAATACAACTATAGGTAAGCACGTGTTTGACATTTCTGATTGTTTGTTTTTTCTTTAAGATGAGTTATTTCCTTTGTGAATTGATGACTGCATATATATGGAATCGAGGAAACAAAAAAAAGGATTAAAGTGAAAGAGTTTGAAAGCAACCAAGAGCCACCTCCTTGACCATCCAGATACAATGGACGCTCTACTTTTCAACGTGAACCACACGAGACAACATCCTTCATCGTCACGTGCTAACACTTTACTATTTTTTCCACATTTAACAACGATATTCTTATTATACTTTACTTTTTATACACATTTTTTGTGGAAAAAACCCCCTCAGTAACTCTTATTTCTCCTCCATTTAAGGTGAAAAACACTCATCTTTTCACATGCCTCGTCGTAAGGAGAAAAACATAGTAAAAATCAAAGAAAACAAGTAAAAGTTAACGTTGAACTTAAACGTGTTTGATTAAAGGCAAACATAAAAAACAATCAATACAAATATTACAATATAAATCTATAATTTACTAAATTATTTTCACTTTATCTCCCCTCAACTAAATTTATCAACTTTTTTTATTTTACTATTCTCATTTCTCACCAATCATGTCTCAACAAATCAAAAGTCATAAAAGCAATGAAAATAAATAAGTTATAATATATTACTAGCATTTGTGACATAATACATATGATATGACTCAAATAGGGCATGCACACTAGATAGTTAAGAACACGGTTATATATATGTTGACGTAATATAATAACAAAACTAAAATCAGAACATTACATAAAACTAAATGCTACCAATTTATAAAAACTAAAAACTAAACTTATTTCATATATATTCTTCCTCCAAACTCAATTATACGAAAAGAAAGAGATACTGTAAACAAAGTTTACTTGCTTTAACCATATCATAAAAGAAATATGCTTCAATTAATTGAAATTTCATTTACAATATTTTTAATTTTATTTATATCAATAACACTTTATGGAGAAAAAAAATCAAATCCTTCAAACTCAAGACATAAATGAAATTAGGCAACCTATACCCTGATCAAGAAAATGAGTTGATATTATTGATTTCATTATTTTTCTTCTACAGTTTCCTTCGTTTAAACTCTGATATGAAATAGAATCATATACAATTAATTGAATCATAAGTCGAAAAAAATATATTTAAATAAAGGGAAAGCAGTATGTAAAGTGTGAACTATTAGATTTTTTTCTTCTTGTAATTAATTTTTTTCAAATATGGTTAATGTGAGATGATATATCAAATAATTTGTAAGTAATAAATAATTGAAAAGTAACATTGTTTATATTTATGTGAGTGTGGAGGAAGCTTCCACCTTGAGTCCTTTGCACATGTCACAATAACACATGGTTAGAAATATTGCATATGCATATATACTCTTCAAAGTGTCTTGCACAGAAGGAAGAAAACATATGATCCATGGAAGAAGAAGGTTCAAAGGGAAAAGCGAAGGATGAAGAAGAGCATGTAAAGTACAGAGGAGTACGTAGAAGGCCATGGGGAAAATATGCAGCAGAGATTCGTGACTCAATGAAACATGGTCAAAGGTCGTGGCTGGGAACATTCACCACAGCAGAGGATGCTGCTAGAGCCTATGACAGAGCTGCATATGCCATGAGAGGTCCCTTTGCAGTCCTCAATTTTCCCGATGAATATCCTCCTCCGGCTCCGACTGTTTCTTCATCATCTTCTTCTTCGTCTTCTTCGTCTTCTTCGTCTTCGTCTGTGTCCACTTCAAGCCATGGACACGTGGAAAGAAGGGGAAGGGAAAGAAATGAGGATGAAAATCAAGTGTTTGAGTTTGAGTACTTTGATGACAAATTGTTGGAGGAGCTTCTTGGTTATGATGAAGACAAAAGTAAGCATGGGAAGTGAAACATGGTACATGTATACAGTTTTACCTGATACAAGGTATGTCTGAATATATATATATATATATATGTTTTTTATTTTTTCCAACGGAGAGGTTGAGAAAAACTGTTCTAAACTTCGTATATCTATCTATAACCATGTGAGACATTACCTTTAAGGTTGTAATGTGTAATGTGGATGTGAGTTTATATTTGGGATATAGTGTCAGATTTTTTTTTTAGGGAGATATTATGTGAATGCTTAACTCGTATTTAGATTTTGAAGAGATTTTTCTTGTTCATATAATGTTGTAGAAGTTTTTTTTTTTCTTTTTATGGATGAAAAATTGTTGTGATCTCCAAATTTTAGCAGTTAGGGTTGATCAAGTAAATTCTATGTTTTTTCCTTATTATATTTGTCGTTTGCTGAGAAATTTTGCTTTTATTGGGAAGTGAATATTAGTGATATCTGTTGTGTAGTACTTTCTCTTGAGTCTTCCAAAATTTTGTATGTGTCAAGTATGTACCCATGAAATTATGTACTCTAATGGTATCATTTTTTTCTTCTTTTACTCTTAATAAGAATTGTGAAACTATATAATCCTTAATTAATGAAACAAAAACATTATTTATGTTACATTAATTTCTGAAATAAAATAATTTAATTAAACACATCTGTCAATTGATACTAAAATAAAAATGTTATATATGAAAGCCAGAATAGAAAATAAATTATCAAAGGCTAAAAAATGCAACAATTTATTAGGAAAAAAGAGCACACAAATTTAGTTTACTTGATCCTTAAGATGCTATTTAATAGACAGATTATCATTTAACAATATATGTAAATAGTAGAGATTAAAATAGAAATAAAAAATGTATAGATTTGAATTCTTACTTTATAACTTACGTGGGAGTTAATGTTTCCTCTGTTTTTTTGTGTGGTGAAGTTTAGCAAGTTTGAGAAGCAGACCATGCATAAAATTTGTCTTCAAAAAGAGGAGACTTTGATTAAGTTTGTGTTCAAATGATTGATCACTCTGTTCATATATATATATATATATATATATATATATATATATATATATATATATATATATATATATATATATATATATATATTTGCATAACAATAACTTATGTAATCTTTTAAATATACATAACTAATAGAAATAATTTAGGAAGAAATATGATTGATGAGGAGCATAATTTAGATGATAAGGTTTGGACTAGGGATTGAGTGACCTATATGTTAAAAGTTGGCATTCAAAACTTTATATATTATATATATTTGCATAACTGGAAACAATTAATGTCACTAAAGGTTACAGGTCTATCCTTTTATTTTATAAAATAAAAAATGTTAAATATGTAGGTTTGGGGTTTTCACTGCTGAGGAGATCAAGTACAAATTCGTTGAGAAAAAATAAATTGGCACAATAAATAAAAAGACAAAAAAAACAAAGGAATTGAGATTAAGATTTTTTCTAACAAATTCATTTTTTTTCCTAAGAGAGTGAAGAAGAAGACAAAAAAAATTAATAATAATAATAATATAATTTGCTCAACAATAGTGACAAAATATCAACAATTTCAGCACAGTTATTTCTATTAGGTTATGATGAAAAAATTAGATCGTTTTCCTTTTCAATAGGACATAAGAAAACAAAAGTATATTGGATTCAAACTTAAAAAATAGAGAGGAAAACAACAAAACTCAATTTGAGCTCTTAAACAACTTTTATCCATCCTTAGTTCTTATAATCAAATCATATTTCAATTTTAGGGTTTAACATTAATTACAACTTTAAAACCTAAGCTAGAACAATATTCATTTGTTATAATTTTAGGTATGATTTATATTTTTTCAAATACATGTCATTTATTATCATAATCATTCTCATATTTTCTCTCACTCTCTCTTTCTCTTTCTCTCTCTCTCTCTCTATATATATATATATATATATATATAATTGAATAAATATTATTCAATTATAATAAAATTTAGGATTCAAACATTTATTTTCAAAGATATTAAATGACTACCTTTTTCATCAATTTTTTTAGATGAGTGGAGGTTTGAAGCTAAGGAGGGAAGTCTTTTAGGATTATTCCTATATGTGAGAAAAATCATCATCCAACAAGAAGAACCTTATGTTTGCCTAGCGAGAATGATATTTCATTCTCTCAACGAGAGGGTAGACCTATTCGACGAGAAATTACTTTTCAAAAATTATGGGGGAGATTGTTAGAAGCATTTAATATAATTTAAAATAAATAAATCATTTTACGTTACTAATGTTTTTATGGACTATTAATTTTATGAGTAAATACTATGTAAGGAAGAATCGTTTTTAATTTGATTACGAATTACTATTATATTTATTACAATTTACTCTTATTTACTCCCTTCTACTTATAAATATTACTTATTTACATGAGAAAATGGACAATAAAAATAACTTATATAAACCTTTTCAATCTTTTTCCTTTGTATTGTCTTTAAAACATTGATCTTAATGGGTTTAGATATCATTCCAGATATCATTCCGTACACTCGATCATTTGATAGGTTGTTGTATAGTAAGAGTGTTTTCTCTTTAAAAATAGTGTTTAAAAATAGTGTTTTGTGTGTTTCAACTCAAGCTTTTTCTAATTATTTCCTCATTTATAATTTTATCTTATATTTTTATTTTTTTTATAAGAATTGTCTAGCTTTATCAATATTCATCTTTGCCTTATTATTATTATTTTTATTATTTATTTATTTTTTATTATCTTTTCTAACCATTTAAATTTTTGAATGAAAAAGTTTTTGGGAGGAAAATTGAACCTAAGATGAAGCGAAGGATAGAGACAGAAGGCAGTTCTAGAATCACTTCCACTTCAATCATACCATTCTCTTTTGTCATTTTTTGTGTTCCACACGTGTGCCAGGAGTAATTAACTGCCCCATGCATTATGGTTAGATGTAATGAATATTCTATTGATTTAGTTTCATCTCTGCAATATAAATTTCTTCATAACTTCTGTGGTTTTTTGTGTGCATGTTGTATGATTGATAATCTATTCTTTTAGTTGTATCTAAATATTGAAAAAGGCTTAGAACTTAATTAAAGATTAAAGAACTTAAATATATGATTCTAGATATAAATTATTATCTTAGACATTCTAAACGTACCTATTCATAATACGTGTAAAATTAATTAAGAGAAATTTTACATATGATTTAGAGTTTGTCTAAGAGAAATTATAACTAATGAGTTTGTATTGTGACTTTAAGTTATGTCATATATACACACATGTGTATGTGTGTGCCTATATATATTAATGTTATTGCTTAAAGTTAAATGCATTGAGTTAAATTCATAAAATCTAATCCAACATTTATTTCAATACATATAGTAATATAAGTTACAATAACTCAAGATACAATAACTCGTCAACAATCCATAGGTTAAAAAAATATATATTTTTCTCTCAAGATATAACAACCCGTCAAATTAATTAAGTGCAGTGAAGAATTTCCAAATCTTACTAACACTAGTATTTTAAAAGACAACATAAAACAAAAGACAGAACACTTCTACGAGTTACAATGTTTGTTGTGATTTTTTTTCTCATGTAAATAGATTAAATTTATAAATAGAAAATAAAAAATAGTAAATAGAAATAAATATAATTTAAATAAAATAATAAATAGTAATAAATCAGATTTCAATAAAATAGTAAATAATAATAAATCTTATTAAATAAAATAAATATAATAAAAGTAAAAAAATATTTACCTATAAACAATATTTATTCAAAAAATTAATAATTCATAAAAATATTAGTAAAAGTAGATACATTATTTATTTATTTTTTAAATTATACTAAATATTTTCAATATTATATATATATATATAT